ATATATATATATATATGCGCCTAAGTATGCTAAATTCCCTTTAAGCATGTTGCTTATACTTTGGTATTCACATGGTAACCAGAAGAGAGCTAGAAATATACACTTTTGAACCCATATGTATTACATCATGTTGCCCCTTCTTTTTCTCAGAGTACCTTTCCCTCCCTTCTCTTCCTGTCCACTTTCTACTTATCTTTAAGGACCAACTTGGTTGGTTTCTTCTCTGCCACTTCTTCCCTTGTTTTCCCTTTGTTTAAAACTATACTTCCCTCAGTAGCCACGACACACTGCTTCTGCTAGACTTGAATGTGTATCAGTCAGTTGTATATACACCTATCCCCCACTACAGGTATAGATGAGGACTTGGAGGAGGGTAGTTGATTGTTGATTGTAATCTCCTGGACAATATAGTATATAATGTGCATATCTTTGTGCTCACCCCTTAAAGCCTGAAACCTATCACTCATAAATTCTCTAATTTACTGAGTACCTGGTATGTGCCAGGCACTGTGTTAACAGCTGCTGACAATATGAGCTTACTTTGCGGAGCCTTTGGTGTGTGGAGGACCCAGACATGAAATATTCACAGCAAAGGATGGAATAGGGTGGCATGCCTGCCTGCCTGCTGCTGAGCAGAGGTGCCCAGAGCTCGGAGAGGGGGTGAGAGGTATCAGGGCAGACTTCGTGGAAGAACTTCGGGAAAGGCACACTATGAATATTTGATGAACTGCATGGAATTGAAATGGTGGCTGCTCAATAAATACTAGTTCATTGGTTGATTGATTGTGGGAAAAGCCTTCGGAGATTCTGAGAAGAAAGGGCCTCAGGTCCCCATCGTTCTTATTACATAATTATTTCAGTGCATTTAAAGCTCCTCATTTTTCATCTTATACTTTAAACATCAGGGAAAAACTGATAGGCCAACTTTATAATATTTTAAAACGGCTCTGATGTTTTGGAATATTACATGGCTATAAGACTTTATGTATATTTAATATACTTAGTAAAATATGCAGTAAGCCCATGGCTGATTTTCTCTAAGGACTTCTCAGTGCCGAGGTGGGACTTAAATGTTTAATACTAATAATAATACTCATAACTCATATTTCTCCAGTGCTTTTCATCTTAGGGATCCGTCAAGCCTGTCAGCACCACAGTGATTGGCTGCATCTGGGCTCACCAGCAGGCGTCCACATCTGGTCTCCTATCTCCCTCCAGGGAGGGGAGGGTCCAGCTTAAAGATCCAGCTTCCTCTGCCTATGTGGAATTTTCTCTTCCCCGACACAAATTCTTTCTGGGTCCCTCTGAAAGACTGCCTCTGTGTAGAACTGTTGCTTCCAACCATGCCCCACAGATATCACTATCTTAGGACAAAGAAGAAAAGTGGTGTTATGCTCTGGGGGTGGTCAGGACAGGACACAGAGCCTGAGATGGATGACTGGAGAGAGAAGGGTAAAGGGAGTCTCCCCTTGTTATGTAAACCCACGCTCTGCCCTTCCTGCTCTAGGTCACGGAGACCAGGACCGGCCCTCTGGGCTGCAGCAACTACGACAATCTGGACTCGGTCAGCTCAGTCCTGGTGCAAAGTCCGGAGAACAGAGTGCAGTTACTCGGTAAGCTGCACAGGGATGGTGTTCACACTCCTCACACCTGGTAAAAGGTGTGGATCCCCAGGGAGCAGGGAAAAGTCCTGCCGGCCCTGCCCATTTGCTCACCCCCTTTTAAGACAAGAGTGACCGAGAGTTCTGGGATTGATAGTTAACAACTTTCCATCATTCATTTGAGAAAACTTCTGACATGATTTGCCCCACACCCAAGACCAATGCTTATACCACTCAACACCCCGAATCCAAAAATGCTGTCACTGTCCTACAGCGACAACGCATCCATCTGTATATGCCTTGACCTCGTTCAGCGATCTCCTTTCTTGTCCAAAGAAGCCTCTGCTTTGTCCTGAGAACACACTGGAAACAGCTGGCCTTTGCAGAATGGTTATGGGGCCACCATCTCTAGTTCAATTAAGAACTATACAAACCGTGGGACCCCTGGTTACACTGAAAGTAGTGCCCTGCTTTCTGTTATTAGTCCGTGATCGTCCATGGGAGATCAAAGCTAGGAGGAGAGTGTGAGAGGAATGGGATCCTCAGCTGAAGACAGAGCAGCAAGCAGGAAAACGGGAACGCCAGAGGACAGGGAGCTCCACTAGGTCAGGAGGCTGGAGATGGGCGGCATCACTCCTGCTGTCTGTCCCCTAGGCATGCAAACTGAGTCAGAGCTGGTTGGTAGTGGGAAAAGTTCATTTTTCTTAAGGCCTAACTGAATTGGAGTCTGCTTAAGATATTATTGTCTCTGTATTATGAAATCAATAGCCCTCACTCAGGATCTACGATTACAAATTCCAGGCAACCTAAGCTGGCTGCAACCCATAAACGCTTTAGGAACCAAGGAATAAATAATAAAGAGGAGGAAAAGACTCCGTAGCTGGCACCGAAGGCAGTTAGCATCCCTCTTCTCCTACATCCCTGGGTGGGCTGGGTTGGTGTCTGGAAATCAGCAACGAGGGAAGTTCAGAATGTCTGCTGGTTCATTTGGAATAGTTTATGCCATTTAATTTTATAGCCCATCACTCATGCAGACATTGCTCCAGGCACTTATTTTATAGCAGTGGGAAATGTTATGGTGAGGCAGAGGGAGGTGATAGGAGAGGTGAAAGGAATGGACTTGCAGAGGGGTGGGTGTTGAGAGCACGCCTATGGACAGGGAGTGTGGGGAGCGCAGTTCTAAGGCCCCTACAGGCACAACATCAAGGAAGGAAAATTCGGGAGCAGTTCAGAATGGGAGGGAGGCCTTAGACAAAAACACCAAACATCCACTGCAGCTGCAATTCTAACATATTTTGAATTGCTGAGACTGGGATATATACTTTGGGCTCTCTGATTGCCTGCCAAGGACAAGGTCAAGGGTGTGAAAATAAAGAGCTGGCAGACATTTGAGAAAAGGGGTGCATCATATACATAAGTCCCCATGTCCCTCACGCTCCTGACACAGGATCTCACCGTGTCCCTAGCAGGGGAGCCTCCGGCAGGTCTGACCTTGAACAAGCTCAGGCTGTGTCCCAAGGCATGCCTGTCCCTCACTCATCCCTTGATATGCTTCCAACAGCCACTCTGTGTGGCTTGAAACCAACTAGGGGTATCTTCTGCTACGACTGGTAAACGAATACCCACCACAGATGGGTGGGGAAACTGAAGCGTCAGTGGATTACAGCCAAGATCAGAGGATGCTAATTAGAAGAGAGCTGAGAGCCATTTGCATGTATCCAGGCCTGACTGATCTTGGGTATTTACCACCATCCTATTTTCGAATCTCCTCAAGAGGTAAATTACATTGAGATGGGGCAGCCAGTCCTCGTGGGACAAGGGCAGGGTCTGACACCAAGCAGATTTTACTAGTACTGTGATTTGGGCTGGTCACCATGGTCACTGGGCTTGGATTGCCTCACCTCTAAGAGGCTTAGTATGACCACAACTGTTACTTGCAATTGTATATGGAAAGTACTTGGGGTAGTGCCTGGCCACTATATACCCACAATACCTGTCCCTGCCTTCTATTCAGGGCAATCTCTTCCATCCTTGGGACTGGGGTGGGAGGCCCAGAAGGATCAGCATTCAGTAACATCTTAGAATGCCTGCTGCTAATCTCAGTGAAGCTAGAAACAGGATGGTTATCAGAGACAAAGCAAAAAGCCCATCAAGGCTTGATTCCTCCCCCCATGAGAGCCGTAAGCTCTTCTTTTATCTGAAACATCTTCCTGTTTCCATCCTAGAAATGCTGATGGGTAGCCAATAAGCCCGTTCATATGATGTGCACGCTCTCAATTTGGCTGATATAAGGGGTTCAACTAAGCCTTGGGCTTTGATGATCCTCATTTGCATTTTCAGATCCTCCCCCATCTGTCACTGGGGCAGCAGCAACCCTCTCTCCCAACCAGCTCAGCAGGATCAGGCCCTGGGGTGACCGTTCTTGGGCCCAGGATGCACAAGGAAGCAGAACCCTAGCTGGGGCTCCTGCACCTGGGGTGAGGGAAACTGAGCCCCACTGGTTCTGCCTGGCAATTTCCTGACATATCCTTTCCCTAGGCCTGCAGGTGCTGCTGCCTGAGTACCTGCGTGAGCGCTTCGTGGCTGCAGCGCTGAGCTACATTACATGCAGCTCTGAGGGCGAGCTCATTTGCAAGGAGAATGACTGCTGGTGCCAGTGCAGCCCTACCTTCCCTGAGTGCAACTGTCCTGATGCGGACATCCAGGCCATGGAGGACAGCCTGCTGCAGATCCAGGACTCCTGGGCCACTCACAACCGACAGTTTGAGGAGTCAGGTGAGCAGTCACCAGTCCCAGGTGTCCTACTGTTAATGGGAGGTGGATGTAAGGTGCGGGGCAAGATCATGGGAACTCAACTTGGATCCTGGCTCAGCCACCTCAAGCAGGTTCTATCCTCTACCACTCTGAGTCTCAAGTCATTTCTGTCTGTTTTATATGCAAATGGGCATACTACGTACCAAAGAGATGTGTTTGAAGCACTTAGTAAGCTAATGAAATATAAGGGAGGCATAGGCTCTGTCTGTTTTGTATGCTATAGGTTCCACGGTGCCTAGAACAGTGCCTGCACATAAGGTGCACAATAAATGTTTGCTGAATGAGTAAAGTGAATAGGAAAGTTCTAGGAGACCCAGACATGGGAGGTATAACTAATACCAATCTAACCTTGAGACCTAGATTCTGAAGGACTTGGTTTTGCATCCTTGCTCTGTGTTATAGTCTGTGTACCCCAAAATTCATATGTTGAAAATCTAATGCAATCAGTGATGGTATTAGGAGGTGGGACTTTGGGGAATGATTAGGTCATGAATGGGATTAATGCCCTTATAAAGGAGACCCAGAGAGATTTCTAACCCTTTCCACCATGTGAGGAAACAGTGAGAAGTCAGCCATCTGCAGCCCTAAAGAGGGTTTCACTAGAACCTGGCCATACTGCAACCCCAATCTCGGACTTCCAGCATCTAGAACTGTGAGAAATAAGTTTCAATGGTTGTTAAATCACCTAGTCTGTGGTATTTTGTTGTAGCAGCCCAAACAGACTAATGCACTCTGTTGCTGTCCAGCTTTATGACCTTATATTGGCCACACGGCTTCTCAATGCCTCGGTTTCCTCATCTGTTAGACAGAAAGTGATAATGACAATTGGATAGAAGGCTTACAAGGGATAATTGAGATAAAATTAATGTGAAAAGAACTCTGCACAATTCTATTCATACATTTCAATACTAATGAATGCTAGTTATATGGATATATTTCAAAAGCATAATGTTAGATAAACCAGCAAGAGGAAGAGATATATACATATTTTTATATATTTATATATAATGCTATAATATAATAATCTATTAAATATACTACACATTTAATACTATTTATATGGAGTTGAAGAACATGCTAGTGAATATTTAATATTTTTATAGACAAATACACTTGTAGAACACATAAAAATATGTGATAACGATAAAGAAAACATCCAAGAGAATACCCACATCTCGATGGAGAAGTGGGGAAGTCTGGGGTATTCGAGCATATTTATTTGTCTTACTTCCTTTAAAAAAAAATCTGAAACCAATATGGCAAAGGGCCAAATGCTAGGTAGTTGGCACATGGGAACTTATCCTGCTATTCTCCCTTCCCCTTTGTAGGTTAAATGTTTTATTAAACAGAATGATGCACATGATAGTTGTAAGTTTCACTACAGGAGTGATTCTCCACTTCTCTGCATGGGATGCAGAGCAGATGCTTGAGAAGTCAGAATGAGCTGAGGCACCTGTCATTCCAAGTTCTAGGCAAGGCATTTAGCAGCTAAGAACATCCCACCCCAGTCTTCCAACCCCAGCTGCTATGGGCTACTGGGGATAGCTGTTCCGTAACTTTTAAGTGTGCAGGAAATGACTTTGGGCTTTCACCGCCATGAGTTGCTGCTGCTGAGTAAACAAGGACTCTCTGGATCTCCATCAGGAGACTGGTGGCTGCAGGTCCCATTAAAGCAGATGTGGACAGATTCCTGAGCATGAATTCAGAAAGCATGATGTGACCAGGTAGCCCGGAGAACATCTCAGACTGGCAGTAGGAGCTGAGAACCAGAAAGCACATTGCTTCTGGATTAGCTACAGGAAAGAATGGGTATCTGACCAAGAGTGGAAGCTCAAAATAAAAGGATAGGGAGAGGGTGGCTGGTCTCAGAGACTGAAAGGCTTTCAGGAGGATTTCTCAGCTGGTGCTCTATCCTCTCTGTGTCCCCATTGGTTAGTCAGTTCTGGGGCATCAACACTGGCCTCCAGCACTGCTACCAGCAGTGGGAAGCCAGCTTGAAAGGGCTGTTCACCCTTAAGAGTGCTGCATTTTCCATAAGGGTGCTGTGGTGTCTTTAAAGATTGGCCTCAGACTGTGCTGTGAATGACTTACAAGGAAGTAGAAAGGGGAAAGGGGGTATATGTCCCAAGGCCATTGGCCCCTTGGGGATGACAGACATCTGTCTTGAAATTGAGAAGCATATTAAGGACAGGAAGGATGGGAAAGAATCCTGAAGCCATATTTTATGGTATATTAATTACTTCTCTATAAAGCTATTGAAAAATACATAAATAAAGGGTCTGGGAGAAGAATGGCTGCGAAGCCTCTTCTGTATGCAGTGACTCTGAAGGGCTGGAGAGCACCCACCTGCCCCTCTTGTGGTGTGCATGGACCCCCTCAGTCCTGCCTGTGTCCTTGCCCACAGAGGAATTCCAAACCCTGCTGAAAAGGCTGCCTGACGACAGGTTCCTGAACTCCACAACCATCTCCCAGTTCTGGGCCATGGATGCTGGCCTCCAGCACCGCTACCAGCAGCTGGGAGCCAGCTTGAAAATGCTGTTCAAGAAGATGCATCGGATCGTCAGCCGTCTCTTCAACCTCTGCAAACGCTGCCACCGGCAGCCTCGCTTCCGTCTGCCCAAGGAGCGGTGAGCACCCCAGGTCCCAGAGCCAGTGCTTGGCACCTCCCCAACAGCTAAGGCCAGGGAGGACTCTCTGCCCAACATGGGAGACCCAGGAATAGGGAGCTACACACATGGCTTTTTAGATGCTCCTGTTATCTTAACCTACTCATGTGTCATCCTCAACTATGAGATGTACCTAAAGTGAGCGAGTGAAAAAAAGAGAAGCTAATTGGACTTTTATATATAAATGATGGTAGAATCAAATGTTATCCTAATAATACTCCTATTCTCACTTATTTCCATTTTGATAAGACTTCTATGAAAGAAAGGGGGGGAGTCAAAGCTCATACACCAATTGCTTGGATGAGAACTACACACATTGGATTATTTTGAACAGGTGACTGCTCCGAGTTGCAAGAGAAAAGAGAGCTGGGGTCTCCTGTCCTCGGGGACAGAGTGGGGCTGTATCTTAGGCACTCACTCATTCATCTGCTCATTGACTCATTTGTTCAACAGGTTTTTATTAAGTCCACATTGCATGTGCTTTGATTAAGCTGTGGGGGACATTTGGGAAGACTAAGAAAATATACAGAAACATAAAAACTGAAAAATTGCAGCTATGTGGCAGCCACTTAAAGCCACTTTTCACTTCATGCTCATGGAGCGTAAAGAAAAAACATGGTCTAGCAAAGGCCAGAGAGAAAAGCCACCATGGGGAAGGAGGAGCGGCCAGGCTGTAAGGGAGATGGAAAGGTGGGTGCATGTGAGCCGGGCATTCCAGGAGAGGGAGCTGTCCTGGCAACAAACCAGAGGCACAGGTGAGAAGGAAGAAGAGGGGGAGTTCAGGCCAGCAAGGGTTTTCAAGACCAATTCATTTATTTTTCAACAAATAATTATCAAATATTTACTGTGCACCAGGAACAATTCTAGCTCCTAAGAACACGTTGGCGAATAACACACTGTCCCTACTCTCATGGCATCTGCAAGGAAGCCGTCCATGAACAAGTCAGCACCCAAAGAACACAATAATTTCCGATCCTGATCACTGCTGTGGGTTCACAGAAACAGGGTGACGAGACAGAGAGTGACTGGGCGGTTCTTCTGAAAGGGAAGTCTTGGAAGACCTCTTTGAGGAGGCATTATCACAGAGCTGAAATTTTTTAAAGGAGCCATGTTAGAAAATTCCTATTCTTGGTGGAAGAATGAGAGAAGCAGAGGGAACACAAAGGACAGTGACTAAGAAGTGGGGAGGAAGTCGGCAGGATGTTTGAAAGTGGAGAGCCGGCTGTGAGAAGATCTTATTTAGGAGCCTGGAAGCCAGATTTGACACAAAAGATGGGGCAGAGCTTCTGTAGGTTTTTGAGTGAGGGACTGAGGCAGTACCTGGGAGGGATGAGCTTGGCGGCTTCCACTTCAAGGTTGATGTCAAATATTTCTGGGGCAGATCTGTCAGAACCTGAGTCCCAGGCCCTAGTCAGTAGGGTTTCCATCTTTTAGAGAATGTGGGCCTTTAATTTCCTGATCGCCTTCCCTGTCTGCTGGTCCCTGTCCTGGTACCCTCAGGGAGGATGGCGGTGTGTGGCTTCCTATGACTCTTGCTTCATTTCTGTCTCCTTTCCCAAAGGTCCTTGTCCTTCTGGTGGAACCGAATCCAGTCCTTCCTCTACTGTGGAGAAAGCACCTTCCCTGGCACCTTCCTGGAGCAGAGCCACAGCTGCAGCTGCCCCTATGACCAATCTTCCTGCCAGGGCCCCATCCCATGTGCCTTGGGTGAAGGGTCTGCCTGTGCCCACTGTGCCCGGGACAACAGCACACGCTGTGGGGGCTGCAACCCGGGCTACGTGCTGGTCCAAGGGCTGTGCCGGCCAGAGGTGGCTGAGTCCCTGGAGAACTTTCTGGGGCTGGAGACAGACCTGCAGGACCTGGAGCTGAAGTACCTGCTGCAGAAGTGGGACAGCCGCATCGAGGTGCACTCCATCTTCATCAGCAACGACATGCGCCTGGGCAGCTGGTTTGACCCCTCCTGGAGGAAGCGCATGTTGCTCACCCTGAAGAGCAATAAGTACAAGCCTGGGCTGGTGCATGTGATGCTGGCCCTGTCCCTGCAGATCTGCCTCACCAAGAACAGCACCCTGGAGCCCGTCATGGCCATCTACGTCAACCCCTTTGGAGGCAGCCACTCTGAGAGCTGGTTCATGCCCGTGAACGAGGCCCACTTCCCGGACTGGGAGAGGACTAACGTGGACGCGGCTGCCCAGTGCCAGAACTGGACGATCACCTTGGGAAACAGGTGGAAGACCTTCTTTGAGACAGTCCATGTTTACCTACGGAGCCGAATCAAGTCCCTGGATGACAGCTCCAATGAGACCATCTACTATGAGCCCCTGGAGATGACAGATCCCTCCAAGAACTTGGGCTACATGAAAATCAACACCTTGCAGGTCTTCGGCTACAGCCTGCCCTTTGACCCAGATGCTATCCGGGACTTAATTCTCCAGTTGGATTACCCATACACTCAAGGCTCCCAGGACTCTGCCCTCTTGCAGCTCATAGAGCTTCGGGACCGGGTTAACCAGCTTTCTCCACCTGGCAAAGTCCGGCTGGACCTTTTCTCCTGCTTGCTCCGGCACCGGCTCAAGCTGGCCAACAACGAGGTGGGCAGGATCCAGTCCTCCCTGAGGGCTTTCAATTCCAAGCTGCCAAATGCTGTGGAGTATGAGACAGGCAAACTCTGTAGCTAATGGGGGCGGGGTCACTTCAGTGCTGGACAGGGAGGGTATCCATGCATCCAGGCACTCACCTTGGTGCCAACAAGGTGCTCCCTTGAGACTCTGCACCCAGCAGATGAGACCTCGGGGATCGGACTGACACAGGCAGGAGAGAAAGAAACAGCCACTGCACATGCACACACTCATGCCGCGGGTGTGCGCGCGCTCGCTCCCTCGGGGAGGCTACAACTCAGCAGCCTTGTGTCTGTAAAGTCGGTGCTTTCCAAAATGAATGCGGTTGAAGGAGAGGAGCCAAGGGAGAGATTAAGAAAAAGAACCCGCCAAACCATGAAACAAACAAATCCTTAAAAGTGATTCTTATCATTCAAGGAAGCAAGAGGGGACAAACGGGAGGGGTGGAAGCTCCTGCTCCCCCTCTGTGGAGTCACTTTTGTAGTCTTTTTAACCAGGTTTCTTGGTGTTTCGTGATTCCCACACTGGCTCCTACTTTTTGTACTCTGCCTCCTGAGCCCTCCCGGACGCTGACTGCTCCTCCAGGCGGCTCCTTTAGGAAACAGGGGAAGTGACACCAACTGAGGACACTCAGGGTGGGCAGGCGGTCTTGCTCCCCCTTCACCTTCCTCCCTACCCCCTGGTCCCCTGGCTTCCTGGGCTATCCCAGTTTTGGGGCCGGGCTTGTTCCACGTCCCCACCCTGGTCCAGCCAGAGCTCCCTTCCTACAGCCCCCAATCTGTCCAAGAAAGCAGCTGTCCAGTCAGAGAGATGATGTCTAGGGAAATGTTCTTTTTTAAAAACAAAAACAAAAATATTTATTTTGTGATTGTTTTCCTTGTCAATCTGCTCCAGCCACATGAACATATGAGTAAAAAAATTTAACTGATTTAATATATATTTTTAAAGACCTTTATTAGGGGGAAAATGAGAGAGAAAAGAGGAAAAAATAGTATAGTTTCCTGGGTTGCCTGGATTTTTTTATTGCTCTGTGGGTGACACGTGGGTGTCCTTAGATGGTGGATATTGCTGTGTGAGAAGCTGGTTGACTAGTATATATACAAGTGAATGCATGCCTAAGGCAGTTGGGTGTGAGGTGTGTGTGTGTATGTGTGTGTGTGTGTGTGGGTGGGTGTGAGAGAGAGAGAGAGAGAAAGAGAGAGAGAATGAATAAAGATTGGAATGAGACGGAGTAAGGCAGAATTCTCCCAGGTAATCTGGCTTCCCCTCTCCCTTTTCCCAGGAGTGAGGACTAATACGGGTTGTACACTATCAGGAGAATGAAAGTCTTTGCTCTTTAGGGGAACTGCAGGCTTTATGCTGGGCAAATGCTGGCTAAAGGGGGCACCTCTGCTTACACTGCTGCGGACATCAGGAGAATTTTCCACACTCTGCATCTTAAAGTATGGGATCGCCCTTTGAGGACACTGGGAAAGATGCAGATTTGGCACGAGTTTCCTCCATTCGGTCTGATCACCACCTTCCCAGCCTGAAAAGCAGGTTTGACATACGCCACACAGGGCAGTGCCTCTTCTCTCCTTAGTGCCTTCCCCAGGTGGTATGGAAATCGCATCACAGCAAATCTTTTTTTTTTTAAAAGTACTTCTGTACATTTATTTTTCACTGCAGAGAAAGCTATAACTTTAAAAATAGTAAGTGAAAAATAGTACATAAGCTAGTGAGAATGAAAGAATTAACATGTACTTAATGAAAAGAATAAATTTCTACAACACAGTAAACACCTACACCCCACATTCTTTTGGACCAAATGGCAACTACATATAAATTCAAGGTAAGTATTGGTGTATTAGTGGCAGAAAAAACAAACACAAACCTTTGATGCACTCACTTAGGAACTGTTAAAAAACTCCAAACCTGGAAGTTAAACAACAGAGCTGGGGGCTAAATAAACAGGGCAGTAAGTCGCTCTCCCCCTTTCCTTTTGCTATGTGTGGGCCTCTAAGTGACAGCCGTAAGGACGTCTCTTCCTGGCACCCTCCGAAGGTGTTTCCCTGCAGGCTCACACCTCGAGGGCCCGCAGGATCCCCCACAGCGTCTCCGCGCTCTTCTTTAGGCGGGCCTCCTCCTCGGAGTCAGCTTGACGCTACTCCACACCGGGAAGCACGAGTCCCAGTGCTCGCCCAGCACCCACCCCAGGCAGCTTCTAGCGTGGATGCTGAGCTTCTGACCGATCAGGTACCGGAAACGGGCGGTGTCCAAATTGCAGCCGCTTCCGATCTGACGCTACTCCACACCGGGACGCCTGAGTCCCCGTGCTCGCCCAGCACCCACCCCAGGCAGCTTCCAGCATGGATGCTGAGCTTCTGACCAATCAGGTACCGGAAACGGGCGGTGTCCAAATTGCAGCCGCTTCCGATCACGCGGTTCTGGGGAATTCCGCTCAGCTTCCAGGTGACGTAAGTTAAGATATCCACCGGGTTGGAAACGATGATCATCTTGCAGTTCGGACTGTGCGTCATGATGTCAGAAATCATCAGCTTGAAGATGGCCAGGTTGCGCTGGACGAGGTCAAGGCGCGTCTCTCCCTTTTTCTGGCGCACACCCGCCGTGATGATCACCAGGTTGGAGTTGGCCGTGACTTGGTAATCTTTGCTGGAAATGACTTTGGGCATTTTCACGAAAAGACTGCCGTGTTGGAGGTCCATCGTCTCGCCCTTCAGCCTGCCTTCGTTCACATCCACCAGGGCGAGCTCGTCACTCAGGCCTCGCATCAGGATGCTGATGGCGCAGGCCATGCCAACCGACCCGGATCCTACGATGGAGATCTTATTATGAGGAACGCTCTCCTTTGAAGTTAAATTCTTTATAAGCTCACCCTGGACAGTCGCCATCCTAGACACGGGGGTAACAGAGCAAGGACCCCCGAGTGGGACGCCAGCAGGCTGGCGGGGACCCGGCGCCATCCCCGCACTCAGGAAACGCGCTCTCGCAGCGCCCACTCTCCGGCTGGCCCAGCAGACGCCCACAGCCCAGCCCATGGCCATTCACTCACAATGTGAGGGGAGAGAATGGAGGAATGCGGCAGGCAAGGTTTGAGGCCTGAAGGATGGGCGCTTGTGATCCTGGCCACCCCTCAGCCTGCTACTGTGCCTGCGTGAGGCTGTGGCCGTTAGACACCCGCTGGACGTGCTCGCTTCACAGCAAATCTTTTAAAGAACCATGTCTCTCTGTCTATTCCCCACATGCCCTGAGCACAATGTGTAGGCATACCAACCCCCATTTTATTCAAGCGGAAGTCACCATATAAATACTAAGTACCTCATTCTGTACCTGTGGTACATCTCAGTTGGTACAAAATGAACTGGGAGACAATGAGAGGATGGTCATGTCTATCTGCCCAAGAGCTTCCATGTTTGTCACTGCATAGAGAAGAATCCAGCATTTTATTTAATCCCTGAACCATCCCTCTGTTCATGAGGACCTGAAATCCCAGGCAGATAAGAAGCCTAGGGCATTTCTTTCTTCACAACTCCCCGAAGTCTTCTAGGCTGGGAATGCAGAGTGATGGATGAACTAGGGACGAACAGTTATTGCCTATTTCTAGTTCAGCCTCTACTTGCTTGGGGGTGGGAGGGTGTGTCTCAAGCTCTTTGTCTGTGGGATATGGAACCAGCAGATCACCATCAATAGGGCTGTGGATGTACCAAGACTGCTTCTAGAAGGCAGATGGAAGAAAAGGAAGAAATAAAGAATGGACAGGATTCCTGAAGGGGCTGTTAAAGGCTTAATACCATGAATTCAGCATAGAATTTCTCAAAAAAGCTAGGCTAAGAAATGCCATAATAATAAAAAGATGCCACCGGGCAAAAGTGTCCCTTTCAAAGTCTATAGGACCCCGGGGAAAAGAAACCACTATTCCCAGGCACAGTCCCCAATTAAGAATTGTCAACTATTAATAATGG